TTTACCCGGCCCTCTTCCCCCAAAACATAACCCGGCCAAGTACTGTGCCTTCCACCAATAGCATGGTCATGACACTGACCTATGCTTCAAATTATGTCATGAGATTCATGATCTTATTGACAACAAAGTGAGAGTGCCTCCTCAAAAGCCTAACGTCACTACAAACCCCCTTCCACTACATAACCAGGCCCCCCCACCTCGACAAGTAAACCTTATCCAAACACTGGTCGTTCCTTACGACCCCAGTATATACATTACCCCCTCCCACCTACCTAAGCCAGCGCTGATCATCCCAGAAAGCACAGACTTGTGCATGACGAGCGCGCCCATATCCTAACCCAAACCTATGGTGGTGATTGTGGAAGAGGAAGGTAGGGTAACCTTAGTGGAGGTGCATGGTGGAATTATTCAACAGCATGTCAGCAGCTAGACTGAGCAATACATAGTACAGGTTAAGCCGGTCAGGTTGTACGTGATGATGATTCATTACCCACATTTCAAGGCCTCCGCGTTTGGTGCGCTTGCCTAAAGCCCCAAACGTGACGAGGGCTCTTTTGGGAAAAAAAAAAAACAACCATGCTACAGACCCTAGCGGGGGTTACACCCCAAGTGAGGTGGCGAATTTTCACTGGTTGAAATTTAAAAAATAAAAAATAAAATATTTTTTTTTATCCAATCAGAGCGCGCTACCTCACTGGGGGTCGACTCCCAATGGAGTCTGAAGCATTTTTCAAAAAAAAACGCAACTTTTTACCATCGAACAAAACGCCAAGCTGCGTTTTTTTGCTCATTTGGGAAGTGGAAAAAGTGGCTTGGAAAATTACCTAATTACCCTCAATGTTTACATCTCGTGGATTTGGGTAAAATGTAATTTTTTAATTTGGGTGAGGCTATTTTAGTCATTTTAGTGTGATGTGATACCATAAATAAATATTAATAAAAAAAAAGTAACTTTTTATCAATTTTCTAAATCACTCCCAAAAATCTTAGTTAAAAGCAAAAAACCTGATTTTTACCACCTTCCCAAGATAGGATTGGAATCCTAATTACTGGTTTCAAGCATTCACACTCTATTTGGATTGAGAAATTTGGTAAAAAAATAAAAGAAATAAAAAGAATAAAATAAAGTGTTTAGATTGAGAGGTTTGGTAAGAAAATAAAAGTTTGGTTTGTTTTTGGGAGAGTTGTTTTTGAAAAAAATTTTGAGGAGAGAGTTTAGAAATTTTTTTCAAAATTTTTTTGGTTTGTTTAGTTATATATTTTGGGAGAGTTGTTTTTTTAGGAGTTTGAGATGATTTGATATTTTGGAAGAATTTGAGTAGATGTGTGTGAGAGAAAAAGTGATTGAGAAGGAGAGAGGAGAGAGAAAAAGTGATTGATTGATGTGTAAGAGAAAGAAAGTGATTTTGAAAATTTTTTGAGAAAAACTCACACCAAACAAATTTTTGAAATTTTTTTTATAAAATTCATCTCCCAAAAACAAACCAAACATACCCATTGTTTTTTCTAAAATTTTCTTATCATTTGTTTGGATAATTAATGAAGTAAGTAATGGTGAGAAATTTAAATCACACCCAACTTCAGTTTTGTTTTTTCACCAAATAAGAAGATAAAAAAAAATCATAATTTTCTTTATTCTTTTCCTACATAAGTGAGAAAGTCTAATAATATATTTTTTTTTCTATCTCTCAATCCAAATGGAGTGTAAGGCAGTCCTCACCCTTCCCTCTTTCTTAAAAACGTACTACCTATTATTCTCAGGGGTTTCTAACTCTGAAAGCACTAGAAGCAATTTTATCTTAATAAAAAGTTCTAAATGGACTTAAGTGGATGAACTTTGTATGCCTATTAGGGAGCAGTTTTTTTGTCGAGATTCATCCTGTCTATACCTCTAAAAAATCCACTATTTTAGTTTTTTTTTTGGATAAATTACATTGATACCTTCTGAGATTTTTATTTAATATTGATTTCACCTTCATATTTGAAAAATTATATTTTTTTTCTGAGATTTGTAATTTCATTACCAATTGTCTCGTGGATTGCTGATGTCATGCTCTAAATTTTTTAAATGACCATCTTACTCTTTTTTTTACCATTTTTTCTTCTTATCATTATAACTATATTTTACAACTTTTCATCATTAAATTTTACTTGAATATATTCTCATTGGGTGATGATATACAAACATAAATTTTATATAGAATTTTCAAACACAATGATATATCTTAATGATGACTTTTCACTTTAAAACAAAGCACCTATAAACATGATTTATATTTACAACAATATCACTATCACAATTTTTATGATATTTTTTGTATAAATTTTTATATATGAATATAATTTTTCATTTTTATTTTCACAATTATATCTAGATTAGATCAATTTAATAAGATATATTTAAAATGTATAAAATTTATACAAAATTTTTTTAAAAAAATCCATTGAATACAACAAAATAAGATAATGTATTAAATTTTTGTATTTTTTTTTGTGTATTTAGTGAATTTAAAAAAAAATAAATATTATACTTCTTAATTATATCTAGATTAAGTGTATTTAAAAAATAAAAAAAAATTGCTTAAAATATTAAAAAAATCTAATAAAATAAAAAAAACTCAATTTCTTTTTTATTTTTTGTGTAAGTTAAACTAAAAAAGATGATTATTATTTCTCTTGAAATGACATGAACTAAGTTTTTTTCTTCTTCTTGTTTTCATAAATAATTTTTAAAAAAAAAAATTAGGATAAATTATAAATATATTTCTTGAGATTTTCTTAAAATGCGGATTATTCTCTATGATTTAAAAAATTACAAATACTACCTTGTTAGAATTTTTAATCTAATAGAATCAATAGAAAAAATAAAGTTTCCGACTATTCTCTTATACAATAATAAATTATTTAAATTGTTAATTGAAATATATTTCTACAGTTATTAAAAATTATTAATTGATTTGATGATTTGCTAATAAATTAATCATTTGTTATGCGATTATAAAGTTGAAGGGGTAGGATGTAATTTCTAAAATCACAGGAGTCAATCCGTATATTAAACAAACCTTAGGGGATGTATATGTAATTTATCCAAAAAATTAAAAGGATTAATTATTTTAATATTATTTTTATTTTTGAATAAGAATAATTTTTAAAAATTGAAAAATAAGTCTTCACATGTCTTAAAAACTTGAGTTGTTTTAGAAATTTTATTAAAAAAACGATTCAGCAGACAAATTATTTATATTTTCAAAAAATATAAACAGAAAGCTTTAAACAAAGGCTCAATTACAAAGACCTCCTTGTGGTTCTACAGATAGTTTTAAAAATCACAAGGTCCTCTCTTTTTATTTTTGAAAATATACGATCTCCCGTCTGTAAATCCAAAGTTAGAATAGTTACCATATTATTGTGTTATCTGCAAGTTTAATTATTTAAATGTCAAAATTACTCTTTTGTCTGTCTTTTATCTACAATTGCAACCATAAAAAAAAAAAAAAAAAAAAAAACAGTTTTTTTTTGGGACCAATCCCCCAGTGACACCTCACTGGGGGGTCGACCCCCAGTGGGGGTAGGAAGCATTTTTGTATCTACAATTGCAACCATACAGCTCACCTCAATATTAATTTCATGACCAAACAAACTAAAACCTATGATGTTCCTCTTCTCTTCACTTCTCCTTCCCTCCAACCGTCACAACCAACGCCCTTTAAATAGCCCATATATATCATTGCGAACAAGATCTTTCCAATTATTATTGAGTAGTGCTAAAAGGTAAATTAATTTTTGTAAATTTAATAATATGACAATCTATTATAATATTTAAGAAAATCTCTCTCTCATTTTTTTTAATTATTAGTTAATTATCTTTTTTACATGTCGCTAGATTTAAAAAGTGAATTTGTATATTATTTTCCACTATGATATGAAGTACATACAAACAACCACATACACATGTATAACCCATTACCATCCCAATGTAATTTCAAAAACCATAGAAGAGATTTTTGTAATTGTCAAAATTTGAGGAGCAGGTGCAGAATGTGATACTCTCTATATCATTTAAATGCAAGTGTGATAATCTTTTTTTTAATTTGTAACAATTATAAATTTAAATTTTTATTTCAAAATCATTAAATATATAATGAGAATATTCCAATATATACATGAAATTATGTAAATCAAAATCCAAAATGATATATGTTTAATTAACAATTAAACAAAACTAAAGATAGTAGAGGTGATTGCGAATCGGATTGAGTCGGGTGACATCTCAGTTGTCATTCTTTCAAAATTAGGCTGGTTGGAAAAAAAATCAATCCGCCTACCGGTTTGGTGAATGCGAATCAAGTGAGCCGTGTGGGTTGGCGAATGGATGCAATCGGTTTGGCATTTTGAATTTTACAATTTTTGGACATTTTTTTGAATTATAATTCATAACTTTTACAATCTCCAATAACTAGTAATCTAAAAAAAATTGTCTATAACAGGCATGACGCCACGCATGCATATTTTTAAAGTATTACTTTACATTTTCACAAAAATATATATTTTATTATTTCTACTCTAAATTAATACTTGTTAACATTTTTTTTTTGAACTTCATCTAAAGAATAATTAATCCGCCATAAGAATTATATCGATAAATTTTAAAATATTTCATTTATATTTGTACATTAAAAAATATACATCCACTCAAAATCATTCTGGTTGGATGAATTCACCCTTAAAAACAGGCGCGGATGATTATATCACCGACACGGCTTTCTCGTCAACGATTTAGAATTCCTGTAGCCCCATCTGACGGTGATGTTGTTTACCATTTCAAACTTCTACGGTCAATATTCAACCGTTTCTCTCTCCCCACCTCTCTGTCTCTCTGTAGAACGTTCTTTTCTTTTCTTTTATTTTTTTTTATTTTATTTTATCTTTAATCTATTATTTTATTTTATCTTTAATTTACTGTCCTTAGTTTTGAAGTTTTTGAACCGCCTACAAAGACTCAACTTATATGTACATACTACCCACCTTAACTTGCATTTCATTCTCGACTTCATATTTTACATGAAAATACCACAACAAAAAAAAACTTAAATTCATGATTTCGTCTTGGCGGAGGCGAAGAGCGGCTCGCCGTGCCCGCAAGAGGCATGACGAACACGACGACAACGGTGGCATGACGATGCAGATGGACATGGAGACGGAACTGATGATACCTAGCCATTTCAGGTGTCCAATATCTTTGGACTTGATGAAAGATCCAGTGACACTGTCAACCGGGATCACCTACGATCGCGAAAACATCGACAAGTGGATTGAAGCCGGTAACCACACTTGTCCGATCACTAGCCAAAGCTTGAAAACTCTGGAGCCAATTCCAAACCACACCATTCGAAAGATGATTCAAGATTGGTGTGTTGACAATGTTTCACTTGGTATTGAGAGAATTCCCACTCCTAGAATACCCGTTAGCTCCTTCGACGTGCTCCAAATTCTCTCAAAACTTGCATTGGCAAAGCAGAGAGAGGATAGTGAAGGGTTTGTGGAGTTGGTGGTGGAGCTGAAGGGTTTGGCGAAGGAGAGCGAGCGTAACAGGCGGTGCATTGTGGCTAATGGTACGGGCTGTGTTCTATCTGCCATGTTTGAGGCTTTCTCTGAAAGGTCTTTTCATAAAAACATTGCACTTTTGGAGGAAATATTGTCAGCTTTGACATTGATGCTTCCACTTGATGAAAATGCCAAGTTTCATCTAGGCTCATGTGTATCTTTGAATTGCATTGTTTGGATTTTGAAGCATGGAGGAGACTTATCGGGACGAAGGAACGCAGTTTTGGTGCTGGAAGAGTCTCTATCATCGTCAGCAGCAGATCAACAACACAAGGTAGATGCTTTGGTAGAGATTGAAGGAGCCATGGATGCTTTAGTCAAGTTGATCAAAGAGCCAATTTGCCCTACAACTACAAAAGCTTCATTGACAACCATTTACTACATGCTTTCATCATCATCATCGTCAACATCATCATCACCTACTCTTGTGAATGAGAAGGTCATAATAAGATTTGTAGAGATGGGTATGGTGTCTTTGCTGCTAGAAATGCTTGTTGAATCGGAGCGAAGCATATGCGAGAGGGCTTTGCATGTTTTTGATGGACTTTGCAGTTGTGACCAAGGGAGAGAAAAGGCTTATGATCATGCTCTAACTATGCCTGTTTTGGTCAAGAAGATATTGAGAGTTTCGGATTTGGCGACCGAGTTCTCAGTTTCAATCCTTTGGAAGCTTGGCAAAAATGAGAAGAGGGAAGAAGAGGGAAGTGTTCTTGTTGAAGCTCTTCAAGTAGGTGCTTTTCAGAAGCTCTTGTTGCTCTTACAAGTTGGATGTGGTGAGAAAACAAAGGAAAAGGCAAGTGAGTTGTTGAAATTGTTAAACCTGCATAGGGATAGGTTGGAGTGTATTGATTCTATGGATTTCAAGGATCTCAAAAGGACTTTTTGAACCAAACTGGTCCTTATTCCTCCTTAGGGGAAAGAATTATACCGGTATTTGTGATATTTTACTGCTCAATGTACAAAAAAATTCGAAGAGAAATTTATAAATATACGTGCTATACATTAAAATTCTTACACATTCTAGAAAAATGATTTAAGGTCTCAATATGCTGGGTTTTTGAATAATTCTCGGTTGTGAGGAGTGCTTGATCTAATAGAATAATATATATTTGTTAGAATGGATTGTCAAAATCTGAGTGTGCACTATTATGATATGATCAATAATGAATAAGCCCCATGATATAGATTTGAGGCACTTTATACATGCTTTTCTTGTTCCTCTGCGTATTTGAATTTTGACTTGGCAATTAAGTTTGAAGACATTTTTTTCCTTGTCTCTAAATTTTTCTCTTCGAATTTATGGATCAGAAAATCTACTTATCCAAAAAAATTGGTCTAGGACGTTAATAATAAAGTGATGCAGGGTGAAATTAAAATCTTTTATGATAAAGAGTCGTGCTCGAAATAAATTTTAATAACACAATTAATTTTTTTTGTTGTTGATATTTTTCTAAGTAATTTTTTTAAATATGTATACCACTAACATGAATTTCTTTGAATTAAGCCATAGAATAGAAAGAGAGAAGTCTTGATTAGAAACCAATCCTCTTTTGCCTGAGCCGGAGTTCCATGCAATTATGAGCCATAATGATAGATGTTTTTGGTTTTAAAATAAAAGATCCGCAATAACAATATCATTCTATGTAAAAAAATACTACAAATATTTATTTGTTTATCATTGCTCATTCATTAAAGGCGTTGAAATGTATAAGCAATTAGAAAATGTTTGAGGGCCACAATTTTTGTGGCTCAAACGGCTTAAAATTGTCAAAACGACGTCGTTTTGGCAATTTTGAAGTTGTTTTGTACTCAAAATGACGTCGTTTTAGCAATTTCGAGCCATTTGAACTACAAAAATTGTGGCCCTCAATCATTGCTATAAGCAATTATGCCAGGTATCCAAGAAGGGATGAGCTTTTCTCCGCTACACAATGTCAACTGGAAAGCGTTTTCTGAGCATGTGGGATTCATTACCAGGTTTATTTTGATAGTTTGGTTTGTTCATTTTTTTTTTTCATGTTTATAGATTATTCATGAAAAAAACAATAGATTGAACTGATAATTATAACTATGTTTGTCTTTAAAAACTAAATGGTTTAATTTTAAAATTATATTGATCGTCTATTTTTTTTTAAAAATAAACATAATTTTAATCTCCAAATTATCTTAATTTGGTCTCTTAATATAATTTCGTCACTCGCTTTGTTTTTACCAGGTGTAAGACTTGAAAACTATGTGTGTGTTTTGTTTGAATATTTAGATTAAATTTTTTGAAAATTGACTTTTTTGTTTTTCAATTTTTTTTTGTTTTATTTTTGTTTTTAGTGAATATTTTCAAAATTTTAAGCATTTTTTTTTTTACTTTTTTAGATGCACCTTACTTATATGTATATAAAAAGTAAAAAAATTGGGAAAAAATATTTTTAAAAATCAATAAATACATAAAAATATGAAAAATATACTGAATTCTTTTTCTCTTTTTTTTTGTATTTTTGGTATTTAGTGAATTTTTAAAAGATTTTTTTCACAAAAATTATACCTTTTATGTATATTTATGTTAGGTGTGTCTAAAAATTAAAAAAAAAATATTAAAATATTAAAAAAATTCAGTAAAAACAAAAAAAAAATGAGAAAAATAAGAAAATAGAATTTTCTAAAAAATATTTTTAAAAAACCCAAAATAAGCAAAGTGTATATTTTTGGTGATGAAAAGGCCATCGTAAAAAAAAAAAAGAAAAATCGTCAATGAGGATGCCATTTTAATGCAGTCAGTAAATTTTGACTATTTTTTGTTTTAAATCACGAAAAGTTATTGAAGGGTGATTGAGGCTCACTCACCAGAAGATGGTTTGAGATTATTGAAAATGGTAAGAGAGGGACAAATGAGTAAAATTGTTAGCACCATAAATCTGCAATTTTTATTATTATTTATTATTTATATAATTGCAGGACACGTGGCATCCTCTTACTCATTTGAAATTCATTTGGAAGTTAAAAGAAGTTATAGAGATAATGGAGAATATGAAGGACAAAGTGGATGAGTGGGAGGACAAAGTGGATGAGTGGAAGGACACATGGCAAGACAAGAATGAAGATGGAAGAAATGGGTAGTTACTAAGTAGTTATTGCTGTATTTTTTCTTCTATAAATAGCCATTAATGGCTACATTGTAATGGGGGAGAATCATAAATCAAAGACAATTGATTTCAATATTTCTTGTCATTTTTCTTATCTTAGGAGTAGCTTAACATAGATTTATATTTCGAAGCATTTATTTTTAGCATTTCCATTTCGAAGCATTTTATGCACTTTCTTTTTGAAGCATAGGAGTAAAGGTAAGTAATTATTACTTTGATTGTTCACTCAATCATCTTTCTCTGTCCCTTTTTCTTTTTCTTCTTTTACTTTTTCTTTTCGCTACACTTGGCAAATTTGAAGTCCTCTTCGTTGTGGGTTTTTGAATAATTCTCGGTTGTGAGGAGTGCTTGATCTAATAGAATAATATATATTTGTTAGAATGGATTGTCAAAATCTGAGTGTGCACTATTATGATATGATCAATAATGAATAAGCCCCATGATATAGATTTGAGGCACTTTATACATGCTTTTCTTGTTCCTCTGCGTATTTGAATTTTGACTTGGCAATTAAGTTTGAAGACATTTTTTTCCTTGTCTCTAAATTTTTCTCTTTGAATTTATGGATCAGAAAATCTACTTATCCAAAAAAATTGGTCTAGGACGTTAATAATAAAAGTGATGCAGGGTGAAATTAAAATCTTTTATGATAAAGAGTCGTGCTCGAAATAAATTTTAATAATACAAATAATTTTTTTTGTTGTTGATATTTTTCTAAGTAATTTTTTTTAAATATGTATACCACTAACATGAATTTCTTTGAATTAAGCCATAGAATAGAAAGAGAGAAGTCTTGATTAGAAACCAATCCTCTTTGGTCTGAGCCGGAGTTCCATGCTATTATGAGCCATAATGATAGATGTTTTTGGTTTTAAAATAAAAGATCCACAATAACAATATCATTCTATGTAAAAAAATATTACAAATATTTATTTGTTTATCATTGCTCATTCATTAAAGGCGTTGAAATGTATAAGCAATTATGCCAGGTATCCAAGAAGGGATGAGCTTTTCTCCGCTACACCATTGGCCCTGTTTGGTAGAGCTGTAGGAAAGTGCTTATAACTTATGCCTAAACAGCTTATAACTTATAGCTATGAACATAAGCTGATTTCTGACTTATAAATTAAGCATCTCCTGCCCTACTCAAAGAATAAGCTGATTTCTGACTTCCAAAAAGCTATAAACTATAAGCTAAACCAAACACATCAAAATAGCTTAAATTAAGCTGAAAGCTGAAATAAGCAACTTTTAAGCTGCACCAAACAGGCACAATGTCAACTGGAAAGCGTTTTCCGAGCATGTGGGATTCATTACGAGCTTTATTTTGATAGTTTGATTTGTTCATTTTGTTATTTCATGTTTATAGATTATTCATGAAAAAAACAATAGATTGAACTGATAATTATAACTATGTTTGTCTTTAAAAACTAAATGGTTTAATTTTAAAATTATATTGATAGTCTATTTTTTTAAAAAATAAACATAATTTTAATCTCCAAATTATCTTAATTTGGTCTCTTAATATAATTTCGTCACTCGGTTTGTTTTTACCAGGTGTAAGACTTGAAAACTATGTGTGTGTTTTGTTTGAGTATTTAGATTAAATTTTTTGAAAATTGGCTTTTTTGTTTTTCAATTTTTTTTTTGTTTTATTTTTGTTTTTAGTGAATATTTTTAAAATTTTAAGTATTTTTTTTTTTACTTTTTTAGATGCACCTTACTTATATGTATCTAAAAAGTAAAAAATTTGGGAAAAAATATTTTTAAAAATCAATAAATACATAAAAATATGAAAAATATATTGAATTCTTTTTTTTTTTTGTATTTTTGGTATTTAGTGAATTTTTAAAAGATTTTTTTCACAAAAATTATACATTTTATGTATATTTATGTTAGTTGTGTCTAAAAATTAAAAAAAAAATTAAAATATTAAAAAAATTCAGTAAAAACAAAAAAAAAATGCGAAAAATAAAGAAGTAGAATTTTCTAAAAAGTATTTTTAGAAAACCAAAAATAAGCAAAGTGTATATTTTTGGTGATGAAAAGGCCATCGCCAAAAAAAAAAGAAGAAGAAAAATCGTCAATGAGGATGTCATTTTAATGCAATCAGTAATAAATTTTGACTATTTTTTGTTTTAAATCACGAAAAGTTATTGAAGGGTGATTGAAGCTCACTCACCAGAAGATGGTTAGAGATTATTGAAAATGGTAAGAGAGGGACAAATGAGTAAAATCCTAAACAAAATTTTTTTTTTTCTCAAAACTTTTGAAAATTTTGAAATTGGTTCTACTTTAATGAAAACGAAAATACTATACTTCATTTCTAATATTAAAAAAAAAAAAACAAACAAATAAATCAAAAAGTTAAAAAAATATCAAATGGCGCTTAAGTGTTAGAGGAATTTATTAGAAAATCCTCTTTTAAGTAATTGGATCCCAATTAATTCATAAGATATTCTTGTACTAATAAGTTCTATTATTTTAGACATTCGATTCATTAATTTTAATTCTCATACTTAAGGTAATTTATGGATAATTTTACCCTTACAAATATTTTTTAACTCTTAGCAATTTGGTGTGCATTATTATTTTGGACTATTTTAAATGTTCTATGATGTGAACATTTACATTAAATAAATTTAATAGTGTGAATGTTCACATAATGAAACATTCACACTGTTAATGTGAACATTAATATACGTTTCACTCTATTATTATTATGAGTGTTTTTGTAACTATAGAACTTATTGGACTAAGTAAAATATAAGTAGATGAATAGAGATTTATGAATAAATGCCCTAAGTTTTATGTTATACAAAGAGAACATTAATATGATTTAAATTAGATATAAGAAGTTTGACGTGCTTATA